CAAATAAAAATAGAACTAAATCCTTCAGAATTAAAAGGCACTCACTGTTCTGTGTTTTTGTAGATGCAGGTATGACAGCGAAATTGGGAATGTGGCTCACTACTAAGACTGCTGCACCAATAGTACTTTTGCAGACTACCCTACACACCCATTCAGCTTTCAGACTGTAAAAAAATTTGCAAGTGTTTTACACACAACAAAGAAAATGTGTATTTCACAGATAAGCAAAGAAGTGTGATCAAACAAAAAACACAGCCATATTTCCCTGTAAGCTGTCTCCTTGTTTACATTCTGTTTATATTCTCTTATCTATTATTAGCCACTTTTCATTTTTCAAATGTGTAGCAATTTTATTTATGCAGCACTCCAATACTGTATATAAAGAGAAAAACTGAACAAGAAAAATCTGAGTTTTCTTCTGTGCACTTCATCCCATTTAAGTATTTTGCTCCCCAAACCAACTCTATCTAGCACTGTCTTCTTTGCCACTTTTTCTATGGCAGAGCAGTAAGAGATCAAATATTTTATATCCTTTAAAGGATTAAAAGTCAATCTTCTCCATTCTTGTCTTGAAGTTATGAATTGTTACTTCTTGATGTAATAAATGACTTGCATTTGACAGTAAATTTTTCTAGTGGCACAGTGAAGGGAATACCTCACACAGAAGTCTGTACCATCAGAAGTCAGGGACCAGTATGGCTTTTGAAAACATTAAGGCAAAACACAGGTGCTCTCAGGACAGAGAGACAGCAGGTGCAGGTAAAGTTCTGCCACTCACTTTAACTTCGCAAAGTCAAAGCACAGAGCCCTCTTAAAGAGGCCAGTTAAGTTTCACAGTTAACATCCACATCTTCAATACTAGCAGTAGCCATCAGCCATGGGAAGAGAGTAAGTGCCATTTGCAAGCACTAATGAAGGCTCCCTCAGACTCTGAATATGCAGGAACTGCTGTGAAACAGTTTAACGACAGGGAAGTACCTTCTTGCTTTGCTGCCATTCCATTTAATTCAGCACATGGATGCTGTATTAAATGGACATGTGAGCAGGTCAAAGCCAGTGTCTGCCTGTACAACACTTTGTGCTCCAAAGCCTCAGAGAAAACAAGCACAGCTGTTGGAGGTGTTTTCAGCCACCACAGCCGTCCTGGTGACCCCAGGCAGACAGGCTCAGCATCCTGCCAGCCTTCATCCTTCCCAGCCTGCATCCTCTCATTGCTGGCTGCCCTCCCACCCTGCAACCAGCGACACGCATGACACATTCCAGCACCTGCAGCCATGGGTGCTTTGGGTTTACCTTTTCACTGGGTTCAGTGTAACAGAATATTGTGGGCACAGCATTCTCTTTTAGGAGCTTGTTATTGCATTCCCTCTTAAAGCAATCGGGGGTAAAGTGTTCTGAGCAAATGCTACTGTACTTGGTCGGCTTGAAGTTTTTCCTCTTAACAGCAGCTTCCCACTTCCTGCAAAGATCGGGTCTTGTAAGAGGAAACCTGCAAGCAAGAGGCACTTTCAGCTTTTCTGGAAAGCTTTATAACCGGACCCAAAACCTTCCTGCTCCCCGTCGGGGGGAGGGAATGAGGTTTCAGCTCGCTCTCGCCCTGCAACAGGCGGCTCAGAGGGTCCGGTCCCTCGGCTTTCCCCAGGGAGACGCCGGGTGGGGCGGGCGAGGCACCCCACCCTCAGCGGCCGCGAACAGACATGTCCCGCTCCCTGTCCGTCTGTCTGCCCGTCCGTGCGTTGGTACCCGCCCACCCGCGCGCACTCCCGCCCGGCTCCCCGCCATCCTCGCGCGCGCGGTCCCGCGCTGGCCCCGCCCCCCGGCGCGACCCGCCCCGGCGCCCGCGCGCGCTCACTTGTGGAAGGAGATGGGCTTCTCTTTGTCGTATCGGTTCCGGCAGCGGTAGGCGGAACAGGACTGCACCATCCCGCCCAAACCCTTGCCCGCCGCGGCGCGGCCTCCGTGGTGACGGACGAGCCGACGGGGCGCTGCGAACTCACTGCCGGGCACCCATGCTTCCCCCGCCTCTCGCGGCCCCCCCCCGCGCCCGTGGGCCTCCGGAGAGGGACGGGAACGGGACGCGCGGCCTCTCCCAACTCCAAGATGGCGGCGCCAGCTTCAACGGAACCTCTCGCGGTAGCGGCGCGCACCGCGCTCCGCCCATTGGGCGCGTCGGCGCGCAGGGTGGGGGCGGGGTCTTGTTCGGCGGACTCGCCAATCCGGCCGCCTCCTTTCCCCCGCTCCGCCCCCTTTTCGGAGCCGTGCTCCGCCCACAGCCGCACCCACAGCTGGGCAGCACCGCCCACAGCCGCGCCCACACCCACAGCTGGGCAGCACCGCCCACACCCTCACCCACACCCGCGCCCGCAGCTGGGCAGCGCCGCCCACCCCGTCCGGCACCATCTGGGGAGCGCCGCCGCTCCCCTCCACATCCACACTATGGCAGCGCCTCCGGCCCCGCCGGGCACAACCCCGGGCCCGAGGGCTGCGCTGCGGCCGTTCCTTCACTGAGGGGAACCTGTCAGGGCCCACTCCGACCGCGCCATACCCGAAGTCTTGGCCGGGAGTGGTTGCCCCAGCCGGCGGGCAGGGCTGCGGCCGGGCGAACGGGTGTGCACAACAACAGGGACAGGAAGAAGCTGGCGCGGGGGAAAGGCAAAAGAAAACAACGGGAAGACCACATTGCCATAACACACAGTTGCCTTAAGGACATGTAAAACAACTCAGTGTCGCTCGCCTAAACGTAGTTTGCAGGTACATCAGCAAACAGTAGATAGATCTCTCAACAAATCGATTTGTTGTTACAAATAAGTTTATTTCGAGCACTTTTGACATGTTCCCGTTCTGTGGGCTCACTTTTGAACTTTGCATTTGATCAAGAACTAAAACCGTCCTACATAAGTGACAGTTTTTGTATAGGAATGATGAAGGAACTTACCTTTAGGGTCACCCCAGTCAAGTGTAACATTATATCTAGAAATTCACTGACAATGACCACAGACCCAAGTGAACTTCCATGGCTTTTCTCTGACCCCACACAAATCATCATTTTCTCCTTAATCTGCTTTCCCTCTCTACACTTGCTTTGTGTGGGAAAGAAAACAAGGTTTATTTGCCTTAGCTTGTAGGCTGTGGCTTCTCTGCCTAGACAGCTCTCTTTGCCCAGCAGCTACCAGTCACTGCCATTTGCTTGCCCAGGAATATGACAGAAAAGTGTGTACAGCAGCTTCAGCAGTACTTCCACAAAGCCACTCGCATGAATTGTTTTCAGTACTCAGTGTTGGCTGAGCACTGCTAGCTCTGCTCCCTCTCCTGCTAGGTCAGCCAAGAGACAAGGAAACCAAAATAAGCCCTTTCTAGCACTACCTTCCTCATCAAGAAAAACATGCTTACTCCTCCCCTATCCACGTGAATGCCTCTGTCCCTGGCCTTTGCCTGATGGCTTTCTTCTCCCTCGAGTCCTGCTGCCAGTTTTCTCGGCAGCAATTCTGCCACAGCCTCAGGGACCAGAAGAGCTGGGCTGTCCTATGGCAGGATGAGCTAGGGGTGACCAGAGCCAAAGCCCAGGCTCATCAACCTGGACGGAGTCCTGCAGCACAAGAGCAGGCAGACACTAATGGACACACCCACACAAGGTGAGGTGATGAACCAGGTACAAGGTCCACCCAGGTAATTCAGGCAGGAGCAGCAGGAGATGGTGCCAGGAACAGAACTGGAAACACAGGTCCAAGGTTCACCCAGGAGATGGAGTGGAAGAGAGCGATACCTATGACACAGCCAGGCAGGGACTGAAGGTGCTGGGCTGTGTTGAAAAGGAGCTCTTGCACCATACACAAGAGTTGGGGGCCCCAAAGTACTTGAGTCAAAGTCATCAAGGCCTTAGTCAGTGCAGTTAGACTCCAGTTCTCCTATAGACCTGAAGAGGGATTCTGAGTCAAAGTCCTGGACTTGATACCACTGTCCATCTCCTCCACTGCTGGTTTTGGAATGAACCCAGGCACAGGTGGGCACAGCATGGCCATATAGAGCATGAGGCTAAGAGCAGAACACAGCAACTTCACTAGACACTGTGAGAAGAGGCACGTGGTCTTGGTATGTAGGAAGGAAATGCCTGGGGAGAACGCATGAAAGCATGAGTAGGTTGCAGAAGGTGACACCTAACTCGGGGCGGGGGGGTCCATCACAGATGAGGAGATCTGGTGAATGTGTAGATGAGCCACTGAGCCCATCAGTCACAAAGCTGATTTTAAAGACTTAAAGGAGAGATTTCAGCAGCCCTCTCAGGATCACATTGGTATCCTGAAGCAAAAGGGATTTATAAAAGACTGGGAGAAAAGAAATTTCCTCATGCCGTAAGAATTTCAGAAACTTGGAGAAGGGCAGAGGCAATTGTCTTGACTAAAGATAACAAATAAATACAACCCCCAACTGAAAAATGCTATTCACATTTCAGTAGTTTTGAAAACGTTGGAAATAAGTACAGGACGTTTCAAACCTTCCCCCCCCCCCCGAGGAAAAAAAGGCTACATCAAATTCAAATCCATTTTCTGAGTGACTTTAGTTTGACTAGTTGGCGTGTTTCCTGATGGCCAATCACTTCCCGTCAGACTTCCCAGCACCGTGTTGTTGAGAATCATTAGTCCTCGACACCTGCACTATCCTGTGCCCATCCATCACAGACGCACCAGCACCTGCCCCAGCAGCCGCCACGCAATGCCCTTGCTCGCTTTCTTCCTGAGGACTCCCGGTCCCGGGGCCGGAGTGATGGCCCGGAGAAAAACTTCCCCGTTCCCGGACGAACGGCACTGCCCCCCTTCCCACACCGCAGTCGCGGGGCGAGTTTCCGAGGGGGAGGAGCAGCGCGGGTTCCCCACGGACACCCCACCGGGAAGCCGTTCCGCGCAAGCCCGGCGGGCGGGGGAAGGAGCGGGCGGGGGGGACCGGCGGCGGCAGCAGGGAGGCGGCGACGGCGGGGCGGGCAGCGGGCCC